TATGTGCCCATATATAAAAAAGGGCACGTATGGGTGCCACGTGTCCCCCCCCCCAGTCCAATTAGGGATATATTGTTAGGATAGTAAGACGACAGGGAGTTTTATGGTCCAATAGTATAACAGGGGTCAATTTCAAACAATTTATCATAGTAGAGGGACAAATCAGACCTTTTTCGAGCGGGAATTGATCCCTATTCCTCTTAGTAACTAACTCAAATTTCAACCATGTGCGCCATTCAACCTTCTTAGAGGACGGGTGTCAACAGTTAATATTATACCAATTTTAGAAAATATGTAAATAAAATATCTAATTTTTCGGAGAGATCATGAGTTTACTTGGCCCATATTTTGCCTATAAATCTGCCCCTGCACTTGTTGTTGGGATTTAATCACGAATGCAGAACCAAGCTTTGATCACAAACATGAAGGATAGAGACTTGTGGCTCGCCACTTGAAGACAACGACTTCTTATTATGCGAAAGACTTGCGAATCATCATCGGAGAAAAGAGCTTCTCTTTGTATTTTTCTTGTTTTTGGCGGAGACCCCTACTTATAGTTGTAGGGGAGGTAAGCTGTGATAAATACATATCTTTTTCCTCCAACTTGAGTCATCAAATCTATCACTAAAGCTATATGATTAGTTTGTATATAATTGGTTGAACCATGTCATTTGAATACTTGGCGACATTGATTGGTCTTTGCATTTGACTTGGCCTACTACGTCATTTATGCGCGTAGCATGATTTTAGTGGTCCTTGATTTGACTTGGCGGGCCATATCATTTGACACATGTCATGAACCTTGGGCTTATCATTTGAGGTCCAATAAGATGGGCTAGCCCAATTAAATTGGGCTCTTAACTAAATCTATATATATTGAGTTTAAATAATAAATTTAATTATACTAGCCCATAATACTTATTTGGGCTAACACATGTTTAAATTTAAAATATGGTCCAAATAATTTAATGAACTTAAACTCAATAAAATTCAACCGTCTACATAGTAATTTAACAAGAGTAAAAAGTAAGAAAGAAGAGAGCAAAAGAAGAAAAAAGAGAAGAAAAGACCGGAGGTTATTTGATTCAACCATAGTCTCTAAATATAATAACTTACATAGGATCCCATTTCTTAACTAATTCTATTAAGCAAAAGGACTAACAAATTAGTAAAAACTTAAACCAAACTATTATAATCTAAACTTCAACTATTTGATCAACCAGCTAACTGTCACGATCCAAAATTTCACCACGGGCGTCGTGATGGCACTTAGTCTCTAAGACTAAGTAACCAGATCATAGTAACAATTCAAATCATTTTTTTTTTGAAATAGAATTTAATACAAATGTCAAAACCAACAACAGAAATAGTGATGCAAACTCCCAAAACTGGCAATATTGAGTCACGAACTCTAGCCGAATACATGTATTGATCTTAAGGATCGAATATACAATATTGTTCGAATAAAAGTTGACAGTACAATAAAATGGAAAGACTCCAAGGGACTGCGACGGCCAAGCAACTCTACCTTAAGTCCTTGCAATCACACTCTAACTCTGTCTGTGTCCGATATCTCAAATACTTGACTCTGCACAAAAATGTGCAGAAGTGTAGTATGAGTACACCAAAGTCGGTAGTAAGTATCAAGACTAATCTCGGTGGAGTGGTGACGAGGTACAGTCAAGACACTCACTAGTCTAATAATCTGTGCAATATAGCATAAAAATAATAGGAAGCTAATAACAACAATAATCAACCAGTGATATAAACAACAAGGAAACAAGAACACCATAAATATTGCTCTAATGAATAAGGAATATAGATACAACCAATTAATCAAGTCTTTCAAATATACGTCTTTCAAATGTAAGTACTTCAAGTATAAATCTTTCAAATATAAGTTTTTTAGAAAAAAATCTTTAGAATATAATCCTTTCAAATAAATATATATTTCGGATATACTCTCTTCAAATAAATATCTTTCGAATATAATTCTTTCCAATAAATATCCTTCATTATAATTCTTTCAAATGATATTTTTGAATATAATTCTTTCAAATAAAAGTCACCTTGTGACACCTCATTTTATAATCGTAAAAATACGGGTCTCAACCCGCTTTCACATTTTCACGGCACCTCGCGCCCATATTTCTATCGTAACCGCACGAACAACTCACGTGCCAAAAATATCAATATATAAAATCCACACGATCAATTTATTTTTAATAAAGTAAGGTTACAATTTTTAAATCAAGTAAGAAATCAACAAAGAAATGAATTTATTTTTGAAATAGTTTGAGTGAAGAAAATGACATTTCAATTAAAAATAAGGCATATGATAATCTACTGATTTGGATGTAAAACTTATTAAATTAAAATATAATAGTAATTTTTTTTAATTTAAAACAACTCATTCAACAAAAACAAGAACAAACCAGAAATACAAATCCTTGGAGTGTCGTACGAAAAGCCAACACAATACTACAAGAGTAAACAACAGGGGCGCTCCCGAGGTACCGCCTCATAGTCTCAAAAGTAAATGCACGATAGGGGAGCTCCCGAGGTACCGCCTCGTAGTCCCAAAAGTAAATATGCAAGACAGGGGAGCTCCCAAGGTACCGCATCGTAGTCCCAAAAGTAAATATGCAAGATAGGGGGAGCTCCCGAGGTACCGCCTCGTAGTCCCAAAAGTAAATATCACAGCATAATACAACTTGCTGCTCAAGTGCTCAAATATCACAACACATCACAAATTACACATCAAGTGCTCAAATGTTACAGTATGTCACAAATTGCATATCAAATACTCAAATATTACAACATGTCACAAATTGCCCATAGGCCCCAACAAATTCTAAATATACGATAAAATCAATTAATTCCATAGCAATTAACCCAAGGCTCCACACAACTATATAAAACCTCAAAAAATAACCACAAGGATGGAAAAGTAACTCAGCATATAACAACGCCTTTTTTAATCCAAGTTTCCGATAAATATATAATGCCTCTTTTTAAACCTATTTATTTACTTAATTATTTACAGATAGTAAAACTCATAATATAATTATTTTTGGGGAATATCGAATCAACAAACACAAAGAATACACATAAAAATTCAAGTAGCAATCACATTAATTTATCATATAAAATCTAATTAGACAACTAAGGATTTGAGGCATGGCAAATAGAGGATTAAATAAATGTCTATAATTATTCAGTTTAATATGTAAAAACACTTAAGACTTTAAACCAATAAGTTTTGCACATATAAGCCCGAGTACGTGCCCGTCACCTCGCGTACACAGTTTTTCACATTTCACAAATGGCACATAATACTCAATGCCTAGGGGGTAATTCCTCCACTTAGGGTTTGGCAAGATACTTCCTTTGCGGAGTTAGAGTTAGGTTGATATTCCAAAATAGCCTTCTCGCTTGAATTGACCTCCGGACAGCTCAAATCTATCCAAATTAATTATATAGCTTCATTAAAATTCATCGAAAATAATTCCAGATAATAAAATATTGACTTAAAATTTTACATTAAAAAGTCAACGCGAGACTCGCCTCTCGGAACCCGACATAATTTTTACGAAATCCGAATACCCATTCCAATACGAGTTCAACTGTACCAATTTTATCATTCCGATAATAACTTGACCTCCAAATCTTAAATTTTCGTTCTTGAAAAGTTTTGCAAAAATCTTGATTTCTTCCATTTAAATCCAAAATAAATCATGAATATAACTATAAAATTATGAAGTATAATTACTTTCGGATATAGAACACTTACTTTCGGATATAGAACACTTACCACAATCCATATGGTGAAAATCGTCTCAAAAATCGCTTTAATCCGAGCTCTATAGCTCCAAATATGCTACAAATGGCCGAAACCTCGAAATATAGCTACTGCCCAGGTATTTACTCTCCGCGATCACGGAAAATGCTTCGCGATCGCAAATCACAACTTTTCTCAGCCCAAAATTTGCCCTTCGCGATCGCGAAGAACAAGTGCCCAACTCTTCTAGACAACCTCTAGTATAATGGTCATAACTTTTTGTACAAAACTCCAAATTGCAAATGGTTTAACTTTTTGAAAACTAGACACCAAGAACTACAATTTTCATGCTTTGCTCATCTCCCAATTCCTTATATAATACGAGATATAATATTTCAAAGTCGGGTCATTGCAAGAGAAAGTTTCCTCTATGTGATTGCGTAAGGCCTTCCGCGATCACAAATCACTAGCCAATTTTTGCCATTTTACTCACCGCAGTCGCGACCATTTCCATGTGATCGCATAGCACACTGCTTTAGCCAAAAATCAGCAGTTACAAATGGCCTAGAAATGGTCCGAAACCACCCCGAAATTCACCCGAGCCCCTCGGGACCTCATCCGAATATACCAACAAGTCTCAAAACATATTAAGGACTTAGTCTAGGTCTCAAATAACATCAAACAACGCTAAAAACATGAATCACACCCCAATTCAAGCCTAATGAAACTAAAAAATTTCAACTTCTACCTTCGATGCCGACACTTGTCAAATCAAGTCTGATTGACCTCAAATTTTGCACACAAGTCATAAATGACATAACAGATCTGTTCCAATTTTTCAGAATCAGATTTCGACCCTGATATCAAAAAGTCAACTCTCGAATTTGTGAGTTCCATTTTTTTTTCAACTTTCGCCAAAATGTTTCAATTTATTTTACGGACCTCCAAATCCAATTCCGGGTGCACGTCTAAGTCCGAAATCACCATACGAAGCTATTGGAATCATCAAAACTCCATTCCGGAGTCGTTTGCTCAAAAGTCAAACTCCGATCAACTCTTTTCATTTAAGTTTAAAAAATAAAAATTATTCTTTCAATTTAATTCCGAATCTTCCAAAAATGGAATTGGACCGCGCACACAAGTCATAATTAATAGGTATTACTAATTTGCTTGGGACCTTAAGTCGATGAATGAGGGTTAATTCTTAAAAGGACAAGTCCGATGGTTACACTAACCAACCAACCGCCTTCACTGCAATTCACCATAACATTCCTTGTATGTTCCTTTGAAATTTGTTGCTTTTCTTCTTTTTGTTTTCAAGAAAGATTTTTACTGGGATTCGGATGTCATTTTATCTGCCATCCCTTTAATTTTAACTCACAGGCTTAGGTTAAACTAAAAGAGTTCAATTGGGTCCGGTTGAATTCAGAGCCCATACTTGATAAGTAACACAGTCACGGTACTCCGTAGTCCGTACAGATAGCAATTGCAGGTATCGACGGGTGGTGTCCGTCCTCAACTTACTACCCAGTCGACGGTTTCAGCAGAGCTATCGACGGTGGTTATGCTTCTCAGTGGCCGCCTCATGCTCAGGTCTCTATCTCTTGCGTCATTACCGGCAACTCCTTCCCTTCAGGAAATTGCCTCTAACCATCCTACAGGTTTGTACCCATTCAATACGAAACAACTTTACAATAATTATCCCTACTTGTAAAAAGAGCTTACGGAATATGTGCATCTATCGGACGTCACATTAGCCCGTTCTTTACTTATTTGAGGTCACTCATAACACCAAGTTATGCTTCCCCTTTCAGTTTACTGGAGAGAAAAATACTGTATAGGCCTTTGTTTTTATATGGCTGAAGAGCAAGGAAATGCCCTTATACAACTGCAACTATTCTAGCAGCTAATGCTATTCTGCTGCCCCAACCAGAGGCTGATCTACATTGTAACCTATGGGAACTAGTAGCTTCTGCTCATACCTGTATATGTATTAAGAAATCCCACTAAAATAAATATCTATAATTATTTGATTGCGAACCCATTTATTATTGTATATTAACTTGAAGTTGCTATAAGAACCCATAAACTTCCTGAATCCGCCTTTGGCCCCAATCTGATTGAATTGGTTGTGCAGGTGTTGCAAAAGTAGTGCTTAAAAAGGGCAAGACACAACTATTTAAGGATGGAAGTCCAATGGTTTACAGTGGTGCTATTGATAGAGTGATTGGTAGACCACCACCCACCACTGGGGATATTGTCCTCGTTGCTGATGGCACTGAGAAACCAATTGGCTGGGGATTTTACAATTCTACTTCTATGTTCCGTGTCCGCCTCATGCAGCAAGAAGAGGAAACAGCATTGTACTATCTGTCCCGTTTATTTCTTTTCTTGTCCTCTTATTTTCGTCGGATCAAATAAATATTCACCACTCCTGATTGCTATGCTTTGTGTAAAATGATGCAGAGACCCTTCTTGTGCGCTTAATGCGGAAAAGCTACTGGAAACAAGAATTGCAGCTGCTGCGGAGTTGCGTAAGAATCTAGGGCTTCCTTCTGCTTGCACAAATGCATATCGTCTTGTTAATAGCGAAGGGGACAGGTATATTTCCTTAAACATTCATCCCTGTTTCTCATGTATGGAGCCTTATTGGCACTAAAGATCATTTGATCATGTCTATGGCGATGAAGTTTTTACATAATTGCTCAAGCAACTTAAATGGCATCCCCACGTGCATTACAGTTGAGTCATTCCTGATTATGGATTTTTGGTACTCAGTCTGTGCAACTATTTTATGAAAAAAGAGGGACAATTCCAAATAAAACAAAACAAAATAAGATAAAAAAAAAAAAGTTAGGGAGAAACTGGTGAACAGATGGAGGACTGCTAGCTGTCAATGCTAGATGGACAACTAGTAAATGATTGTCATAGCTGTTTCTTACAGGGAAAGAATCAGTCGACCCTTTTAAATTAGTAAAATTTAGGTATAGGGTAGCTATAGCAGTAATTTAACGCATACTATTATGCTCTGTATCTTCTAAGATGAAAACATGTAAAGCCTTCTTTGATAGGATCCATAAGACATTTTCCTCAAATTATTTCTCCTTCTCACATCTACAAATTGCTGCTTTTGACTGATTCCCTATGGGAGGTGTTCTACTTCTCATTTCGCTAGTTAGTTACATGTACTCCAAATAATATGCGTGATTGTGAATATTATGCTGTTTACATTACAGAATGAAGAAGATTTAGCAATGTGTTAAAAATAAGACCTTTTTCTTTCTATATTTCTTTTTGAGAGCGAAGTTTTCTAGAAGGCAAATCTTATAGCTGAAGACTTGAGTCGATGTACTGTCTTATTATTGAAATTTATTATGCTTATTAGTGCTTAAGTTAAGAAATGATGTCCGCTAGCAGCTTGTGCCTCAGTTCATTAAGATTTCATGTTTAGTATAGGTAATATATATTTAATTTTCGAGGTGCATTTAGTGAATAGAGAAGTTACAGAATTCTGGTCTACAACAAGCTTTTTGTGAAGAGAAATGTAAATACAATTGCTGACTTTTTGGATTTCCCCGTATTTAAAGGAATCAGAGGTCTTATGTGTACATATTAGTACCTTCTTGGTGCAAGTAATGAAATTCTACTTTTAAAAAAAAAAGGGGGCAGCCCGGTGCAGAAAGTATCCCACGTTCACGTAGGGCCCGGGGAAGGGCCGCACCCCAAGGGATGTGATGTAGACAACCTACCGTAATGCAAGCATTAGGGTCTGCATTCTACTTATAAAATTAAAAAAAGGACAAAGGATTCTGTCCAGTTAATCTTTGTTTGTTGCTGCTAGTTGGTTCAGCCAGTTTTTGGCATAGTGACAACTTCAAATGGTTCATATTCACTATGGAAGAAGTTCGTGCAGCTTCTAAAATTCATATGGGACATGGGATGCAGTTTCACTCAACCCGGGGGTGACAGTGGTCATCCTTTTCTTTCACCTAGCAAAATTCATAGAGGCAGGAGCATGCAGATAGATGTAGGCAGTTGTTTTTAGGGCAAATGTGTAATTTATGATGTATATTAGAAATACACATGTCAGGTTTATACAGAGACTGTTAACATCTTGCATTTTTTGCAAGGGTAATTGTGATTATTTTACATGCTCTGGAATTTGTCGTTCAATTACTTCAATTGCCAGAAATCTGATATTTACTTATTACAAAAATTACTGCATGACAGACTATCAGGCCTTATTGTTGATATCTTTGGAGATTTAGCTGTAATAGCTTCATCAGCTGCTTGGGTGCAGATATACCAGCATCAGATAATGGATTGTTTGAGTAGATTAAATAATATCAAACAGATAAGCTGGAGGCCAACTGTTGAAATCTTGAAAGCAGAAGGCTTAGATCTTTCTGATTTGAAAAAACCAGATCTAATCATACCTCAAACTACGGTAAAGGTGAGATCTGTATTCATATGGATCTGTTGTGCCATTCAGAATTTGTTTTGTGAGCTAAAATCAATATGAAGAGTTGTTTGCTCGCATGGAGGTAATAAGAAACTAAGCCAAGAGTGTGATCTGACATGAAATCCTGTTAACATATAAATGTTAGATGCTAGGATTTGCAAAAGTACAATGCTAAATCCGACTTTTAACTTTTAGAGGGCATCTTGTGTTGTTAAGGAGGCATCTCCTTTTCATTAAGCTATTACTGTCGGTTTCAGAAACTGAACGCAAAGTCGTAGATGCCTAATCGTAAGTAATTACAATCATCTTCCGTAGTGTGATATGTGGAGTGGTGCTTATGTTGCACGCAGCAATGCTTTAGAAGCAGTTTAGGTGCTAAATATTCAGTGAGCTTTCTGCCTGTAGATTTGAAATAAGTGTGCTATACTGGCCTATCATTAGCATCAGAAAACTGATCTAGTTATTAGATAATAATATTGTGGAGTGTTGATTCTGTTATCTTGAAGTTTATATTTTGACCAAATCCTGTCAAAATTCTTTGGCCGACTTTTTTAGTGTTCTCACTTTTTTTATCTTCGTTGTTGGAGTTGCAGAATTAGTAGCCAAACTATTGCTGAAGTTAAATTCTTCTCAAGTTTAAAAGGTTGTAATTCAAACCTAAACTATGAAACAACCTCTTGCAAAAATGCAGGATAAGACTGCGTACAATAGACCCTTGTGGTCCGGCCCTTCCCCGGACCTCGCATATAGCGGGAGCATAGTGCACCGAGGCTGCCCCTCGTCCCTGGCCCAACCAATAGTTCAACTTGAGACATATTTCTGGCACACAAATGACAGGCCGGAAGTAAAGTAAGGGCCAATCATCAATCAATGACGCCTTAATCTCAAATATCAGGGGTTGGCTATGTGAATCCCCCCTATCCATTTTTATGCTCTACGAGGGTCTTTCATTTCAATATTATATAATTTGTTTCTTAAGGCAAACTAGGAGCTCTCTAAAACTAAAGTTCTCTAAGTCTCCCGGCTGACATACAAATCTTTAACCACATCACAATGACTCATGGAAAACACCGGATCTGGGAAAGGTGTAGCAACAACATGTCATTTAGGGTAGGGAACGGAGGAGGGTAACTTTTGGGGCCATAGGTGGTGCCGAGACAGTACTTTGAAAATTTCTTTCCCAAACATTTACATAATTCGTGCCAAAAGGAGCTAATAGTCCAATAAGTTTGGAGGCTGTAAGATTGTCAAATCTTCTGCGGTTAGGATTTAGGAGGAATTTCCAAGATTAGGAGGTGATAGAGTTCCAAATGTAGTCAATTTGCGTCGCAAAGAAAGCACTTCACAGGGTAGCGTGAGTATTGTCATGGGCGGCTTTCCAGCCGTGCCCCATGACCCCTTGGGCGCGCCCCGTGGCGTCCTAGCAAGCCTCCCAATGCCTAGCGCCACAGACGGCCCCGTGGTCTTGGCCACGTCAAGTGACAAGCGCGCATGTGCCTCTGTCGCCCCACCGATATCCCTCGCCAACGCCCAACCGTAGGCGGATGCCAACAGCGCCACGCGCGCAGACAACGCCGAGCGTAGACCCTGATGCCAAAGACTATGCTGCTGACAACGAACCTGTTTCTGCCTTGTAGAAAACTAAGTCTTTTTCATTGTAAATATAGAGTAGTTTTATTCCATGTACTTCCATTATGTTTCTCTAGCTTAATCAAGTCTAGTTTTGTAGCTTTGGTTTATTTTTTTAAGTATTATTAGGGGGGATCAAGCAATCAAACTTTCTAGCAAGCAAACAATTCTCTGTGCTGGTGTCTCTCCCCCTCGACATCGCGTTGCCTTTCTGTAATAGCTTTCATTAATGTAATCAAGCTTTCTTTCATTCTCAATCCTCATTTCTGTTCTCTCAATTGCTCTTGACATTGATTTTCCCGTGCCGTACAATCTAGTCTAGCGTACGGAGGGGACTTCAGTTGGCGGACAATAACGGCACTGACATCAGTTGCTTAGCCTTATGTCGCCCTTCCAAGGAATCTCAGGAATGCGCCGCGTAACAGTTGGTATCAGAGCCTAGGCTCGACATCGGACGAGGGAACGCATTGCCATTACCACCATTTCTGACCATGGTGAATCATGGGGACCGCATTGCGGCCCTTGAATAGACGGTTGACGGATTACGGCCCATTGTGGATACGGTGCCTGAACTAAGAACCAACCTAGGGCAAAGGTTGGACGACCTGGACCGTAGGGTGCTCCAGGCCGAAGTTGACATAGAAAACATCAGTCGCAACTCCGAGGGAGACCGACAAACGGCAGCCACAGAGGCAGCCGAAATTTTTGGCAAATTCGAGGGACTCCAACAGGAGCGTGCCGAGGATTTAGCTTACAGGGCACAAGAGGCAGACAGGGTGACTGCCATGCAACAAACTATTGACGACTTGACAGACAAACTCAATGTTGTCAATGCTGCTTTACAGGGCTTGCTTCGAGGCGGTGGAAACTAAATTGGGGGCACTGCGAACCCCGCTTCCGTGACACGAAAACTAAAAATTCCTGAGCCAAAGCCATACAGTGGAGCTAGGAATGCCAAGGAAGTGGAAAACTTCATCTTTGACATCGAACAGTACTTTGATGTTGTTGGAGGCCTAGAAGAAGCTAAGAAGGTAGCAACT